CGGTGGGAGCGCGGGGACCTTTCGCGAGCATCGGTGAGCGCCTGGAGCCGCGGCGACTGCGGGCTGCGGGCAGAGGGCGGCGGCGGCGCCTCGGAGCCGAACTGGGCAGGTGAGCAGGAGCCGCGCCGGCCGCCAGCTTCTCTGCACCTCAGCCGCGTCGTCTTCCCGGGCGGGCTGGCGCGGGGGTCCGGCGGTCCGGCTGCGGGGGCGCAGGGCTGCCCTCTGGGGAGATGCGCCGCGGTGGTCGCCGCGGTGGCCCCAGCGCCCCTCTGCGCCGCGGGTCCTGGCCCCGGCCCGGGAGGGACGCCCTGCCCTGTCCTGCCCCGCTCGGGAGCGGCGGGACCGGTGCCGCAGGTGGCAGCGGCAGGTGGCCGCCCCCTCCCCTCCGGGCCCGAGGGCTTGTCGCAGGAGCCTGGGACTGAGGGCCAGGGGACTCCTGACCACTGCGGCCCTGGGAGGCGCCCCCGGCCCTCGCCGTCGTGGGACAGGTTCGTGGGCATGCCCGGCCCAAGCTCCTGGGGCCCGGAGAGCCCCCCGCACCCTCCCCGGCGCTGTCCTGGGGGTGCTGTGTGGTGTCGGCGACCGAGAAGCCCTTGGCCATGCTCGGCGTCCCGACGAGCTCCAGCCCCCTTCCTGCCCTGGGGTGACCGGGGAAGGGCGCGGGCTGCACGTCTCCCGGTCCGCTTCGGGTGCCACGGCGCGGTGGACTTGCGGAGCCCAGGGGGACGCGCGGATGCTTGTGGGTGTCCCGGTGATGCGGAGTCTGTCGTGAGCGCGACAGTAACACCCTGCTTCCCCAGGTGTCTTTGAAATTACATTGGTTTTATGGGCTTAAAATTTTTTTTTCTTCAGCAAGTTTGACTCTGAATATCTTATTTATATTTTGTGGGAGCTCAGTTGCCAGCGCGTAAGTTTATGTAATAAGCAGTGTACGGTTAGAAAAATACATATATTACTGTGAAGGTGCTCGTCCTTGCCCTCTATCGGAAGAATTATGTTGGACTGGCTGACGTGCTTATCCATTAGTAACTGCGGTAGCTGGAGGCAAGAGATAAAGTGTTTTTGAGTAGAGGCACAACTCAAGCCTTCAGAACAATTTTTGGTTTCAGAAGATTTTGTTATCCGGGTTCAACAATGTGTTATTTCACCGTTCACGATGGGGGAGGAGGGAGGGGGCAAAAGGCTGTCAATCCTAATACTTTACAGAAAATAGCATTGCATGATTAATCCTCAAAGCAAGCAAGTTTAATTCAGTAGCCAAAACTAGATCTGAAGCTGAGCCACTATACTATAAACTCTGTATCCATTTTAATAGTTTTACAGTTGATTTGTTTGGCTGTTGCAAGTAGGTGGTCTTACTGTCTGTTAAGAAGCAACAGATGTACTTTTCTAATATTTGTGCTTCTTATTTCTTGTCTTCCATACATTACTCTCTCTACAGTGTTGACTGTTAAGGTTATTTGTCTTGGGCTTGGTAGTAGGAGAATGTCCCCACTGTTTCTTCACTAAGTATATTCTATCATATGAAGTAAATTTTCATTTATGCATAATTATTATACTAAAAATTTAAAAAACCAAGCCGTCGTGACTCATGCCTATAATCCCAGCACTTTGGGAGCCTGACATGGGAGGATTGCTTGAGCCTAGGAGGTTCCAGGCTGCAGTAAGCTGTGATTGTGCCACTGCACTCCAGCCTGGGTAAATTAAAAACAAAAATCCCAGGGACAGGTGTTGATTTTTTCCCCAAATGCTTTCGTACAGCAATGATATGACCATGTAGGTTTCCTTCTTAAAATGGTTAACATAAGTGATTATGTTGCTAAATTTTCTTTCTCTAAAATCCTGGGCTAATTTAAAATGCACTTTTGGGCTGTTTGATAAATTCAATGTTACATTTTATTTAGGGTTTTGGTAATTGAGATTGGTATATAATTTTCCCCTCCCCCATTTTTATCTGAGTTCATAAGTAGGGTTATGCTGTCCTCACTGATTAAATTGGGAAACTTTCCACTATTTTCTGTGCTCTGGAACAGAAGAATTATCTGTTCCTTGAAGTTTGGCGGAACTTGGCTACAGATTGCCTGGACTGCTGCTGATGTTTTTTTTAAGGAAGTAGAGATCAGTATTTAATTACCTTTCCATTTTTTTCCGTGATCACTTATTTTTCTAAGGTTTTCTATTTCTTCAAAGTCAATTTAATATTTTCTATTTTCCTAGAAAATCATTAACATTATTGAAATTTAGTATATGTTAGCATAGTGTTGTTTGTAATATTCTATTATGAGAAAATAAATGTTCTCTTTCTTTTTAATACAGTACTTTTTTGTACCTTTTTCCTTTTTTATTGGTCAGACTTGCTTAATGATTTGTTATTTTATTAATCCTTTCAAAGAACCAGCTTTTGGATTTATTGATTAATCCTATTGATTTCTATGTTTTCTATGTCATTAATTTCTGTTCTTTATCCTTCTACTTCATTTGAGCTTATTTGGTTCAAATTCTAGCCTTGTGAATTGAAAGCTTGGATTATTTATTGAATCAATCAGTCCTCTTCCTGTATGAGGCAAGAATTTCTAATTCTTTCATTCCATTTACTTCCCATTTGGCCTTACTCACATTTTTACTTTAACCCTTCAAGTTAGGTGTTATTATTGTTATTTTCTAGGTAAATATTTATTAGATTTATTTATCTACCTGTTAACCATTTTCTTCACTCTCCATTCCTTCTTGTATCACAGGTACTTTTCTTTGGAACATTTTCCTTTTCCCTTGAGTATATTCTTTAGAAATTATTTCAGTGATGATAAATTCTCTGTTTTTAAAATATCTGAAAATGCATTCATTTTGCTTACAGTTTTGAATTTTGACTTCACCATATTTCTCTTTTCCATTGATTTCACAATCCATTGATTTTTCAAAGCTTTTGTTGTTGTTTGGAGTCAAGTTATCACTCTGTCACTCAAGCTGAAGTGCTATGGTGCCATCATAGCTCACTGTAACCTCAAACTCCTGGGCTCAAGTGATCCTTCCACCTTAGCCTCCCCAGTAGCTATGACCACAGGTGTGTACCACCAGATGTGGGTAATTTTAATTTATTTTTTAGATATAGTCTTGCTATGTTGTCTAGTCTGGTCTTGAACTCCTAGCCTCAAGTAATTCTCCTGCTGTGTGAACCATGGCACCCAGCCCTGTTACACTTATGATTAGTTTATAGCTAGATTTTTTTATTACTTAATATTTGTTTTTAAATTAAAATTGTGGTAAAATACACATAAAGTTTACTCTCTTTTTAACATTTACAGTCTTGAGTAGTTCACTAGTGTTAAGTATATTCACATTGTTGTACAACCAATCTCCAAAACTTTTTCATCTCGTAATAGTGAAGCTATATACCCTTTACCCTCTCCTCCCAGCTCCTGACAACCACCATTCTACTTTCTGTCTCTATGAATTTGCCTATTTTAGGTACGTTATATGATACTTAATGTAGCACTTCATACAGTATTCGTCTTTTTGTGACTGGCTTATCTTATCTCATTTAGCATAATGTCCTGAAGATCCATCCATGTTGTAGCATGTTTCAGAATTTTCTTCTTTTTGGTCAGATGCAGTGGTTCACATCTGTAATCCCAGCACCTTGGGAGGCTGAGGCAGGAAGATCTCTTGAGTCCAGAAGTTTGAGACCAGCCTGGGCAACATACTGAGACCTTTATTTCTAAAAAAAAACAATAATTTAAAAATCAGCCAGGCATGGTGGCGTGTACCTGTAGTACCAGATACTAGGAAAGCTGAGGTAAGAAGACTGTTTGGGGCCAAGAGTTCAAGGCTACAGTGAGCTATGATCATGCCACTGTACTCTAGCCTGGGTGACAGAGTGAGAACTTGTCTCTAAATAAACAAACAAACAAAAAAGCAAGAGAGTTTTCTTCCTTTTTATTTCTAAATAATATCCCATTGTTTGTATATATACATTTTGCTTATCCATTCATCTGTCAATGGATATTGTCCATGTTAATGCTGCTGTCACCATGGATATACAAGTATGTCTTCAAGACTCTACTTTTAATTCTTTTGGGTATATACTCAGAAGTAGAATTACTGAATCATATGGTAATTCCATTTTTAGTTTTTTTGAGGACCCACCATACTGTTTTCTTCAGAGGCTACTCCATTTTACTTTATTTTTTGAGTTGGAGTCTCACTCTGTTGCCCAGATTGGAGTGCAGTGGCTGCTCCTGGCCATCGCAGCCTTGACCTGCCGGGCTCCGGCGATCCTTCCACCTCAGCCTTCCAAGTAGCTGGAACTACAGGCACGTGCTACCACGCCCGACTAATTTTTTTGATTTATTGTAGCGATGAGGTCTCACCAAGTTGCCCAGGCGGGTCTCGAACCCGCGGACTCAGGCAATCCACTCACCTCAGACTCCCAAGGTGCGGGATTACAGGCTGAGCCACCGAGCCCGGCTGGCTACTCCATTTTTGTTCCCACCAGCAATGCAATGCATGGGGGGGGGATCCCATTTCTCTACATCCTTGCCAACACTTATTTTTTTTTTGTTTTTTGTTTTTAAATAGTCATCCATATGGGTGTCAAATCTTTGTCTTTTCGCAGGTGGCTTTAACCCGTTTATACTTATTTTGATTACGATATCTTGAGGTTTATTCCTGCCATCTCATTCTATATTTTCTATTTCTCATGCGTATTTCCAGCCAACCTTCTTTCCTTCCCTACTTTTTGTTGGATTGACTACGTTTTTCTTGTTCCAGCTTATCCCTCTCAGGATATGGAAGCTACAGATATTATTCCTACTCTGCTTATGGTGTGTTCCCAGATATTTTTGGCAACGTCTTATGGAGGTATAACATAAATGTATAAAGATGCACAAAATATAACTGTATAGCTCAATAAATTTTGATACACTGAACACATGTAACTAGCACTCAGAACAAGAAACAACCTTTCCTGTACTCTGGAACCTGCCTTGTGCTATCATTCACCACTCAAGATAACCACAGTTCTGATTTCTAACACCACAGATCAGTGTTGCCGTTTTCTGTTGTTTTTTTTTTTTACATTTTATATCATTAGAATCATATAATATATAGTAT